GAATTTGGGTGTGTGTGTGTCAAGGTAGAAAGTTGAAAGTGAATATTGAAAAGAGTAAGGTGATGAGGGTATCAAATGGTTTAGATAGAGAAAAATTGGGTATCAAATTGGGGAAGAGGAGTACGGAAGAAGTGAATGTCTTCAGATATTTGGGAGTTGACATATCAGCGGATGGATTTATGAAGGATGAGGTTAATCATAGAATTGATGAGGGAAAAAAGGTAAGTGGTGCGTTGAGGTATATGTGGAGACAAAAAACGTTATCTACGGAGGCAAAGAAGGGAATTTATGAAAGTATAGTGGTACCAACACTCTTATATGGGTGTGAAGCTTGGGTTGTAAATGCTGCAGCGAGGAGGCTGTTGGAGTGTGGAAATTAGGAGAAGGTGTGGAGTTAATAAAACTATTAGTCAGAGGGCTGAAGAGGGGTTGTTGAGGTGGTTTGGTCATTTAGAGAGAATGGATCAAAGTAGAATGACACGGAGAGCGTATAAATCTGTAGGGGAAGGAAGGCAGGGTAGGGGTCGTCCTCGAAAGGGTTGGAGGGAGGGGGTAAAGGAGGTTGTGTGGGCGAGGGGCTTGGATTTCCAGCAAGCGTGCGTGAGCATGTTAGATAGGAGTGAATGGAGACGAATGGTATTTGAGACCTGACGAGCTGTTGGAGTGTGAGCAGGGTAATATTTAGTGAAGGGATTCAGGGAAACCGGTTATTTTATATAGCCGGACTTGAGTCCTGGAAATGGGAAGTACAATGCCTGGACTTTAAAGGAGGGGTTTGGGATTTTGGCAGTTTGGAGGGATATGTCGTGTATCTTTATACGTTTATGCTTCTAAACTGTTGTATTCCGAGCACCTCTGCAAAAACAGTGATTATGTGTGAGTGAGGTGAAAGTGTTGAATGATGATGAAAGTATTTTCTTTTTGGGGATTTTCTTTCTTTTTGGGTCACCCTGCCTCAGTGGGAGATGGCCGTTTTGTTGAGGAAAAAAAAAATAATGTGAGGTAGTCAGGGTGGAGGTTTATAAGAATAATAATCTTTAAGTTGCACATAATAAAAACAATATTACAATTAATGGTTCAAACAGCAATATTTTATGTATTGGCATATGTTTTAATAGACTAGAGGTCATATAATATTTAAGAGAGTTGCTTCAAACTGATTAGAAGCTGTTTTGGTCGATTTGGTTATTATTGAGAGGCGAGATGATTTTTAAGCAGAGCCCTAAATTTGTATGTAGTCAGGGGATCCTTAACTGGTTCAGGTAGTGAATTCCAGATCTTTGGGTCCTTTATGTGCACTGCATTTCTGCATAGTATGAGACTGACATGAGGGATGTCAAGAGTGCCTTGTGCCTTGTATTGTGACTGAATTGTGTTGTAGCTATCAAGGAGAATTTTAAGTGGAGGGTTTATATTGGAGTTTAATGTTCTGTATATATAGTAGGCACAATAATATAAGTGCATGTCTTGTATATTTAGTAGGTTCAGGCTTTTGAAAAATGGTGGGGTGTGCTGTCTGGCACAGGAGTTGGTAATCATCCACACAGCAGCTTTTTGTTGAGTTATTAACCCTTTCAGGGTCCAAGGCCCAAATCTGGAGTCACGCACCAGTGTCCAAGAATTTTCAAAAAAAAAATTTGTTATTTTTTCTTATGAAATCGTAGAGAATCTTTTTGTGAAGGTAATAAAACAAAAAGTACGAAATTTGGTGGAAAATTGACGAAATTATGTTCTCGCGAATTTTGATGTGTCAGCGATATTTACGAATCGGCGATTTTGCCGACTTTGACTCCCATTTTAGGCCAATTACATTACTCCAATCAACCAAATTCTTAGCTATTTCACTAGTATTACTTCTATTCTATCGATTGAGCACAAGAAATCGCCAAGTCAACTGTTTCAACTACAAAATAAAGTGATCGGAAATTGTTAATTTGGCCAATTTAACCCTTTCAGGGTCCAAGGCCCAAATCTGGAGTCACGCACCAGTGTCCAAGAATTTTCAAAAAAAAAATTTGTTATTTTTTCTTATGAAATCGTAGAGAATCTTTTTGTGAAGGTAATAAAACAAAAAGTACGAAATTTGGTGGAAAATTGACGAAATTATGCTCTCGTGAATTTTGATGTGTCAGCGATATTTACGAATCGGCGATTTTGCCGACTTTGACTCCCATTTTAGGCCAATTACATTATTCCAGTCAACCAAATTCTTAGCTATTTCACTAGTATTACTTCTATTCTATTGATTGAGCACAAGAAATCGCCAAGTCAACTGTTTCAACTACAAAATAAAGTGATCGGAAATTGTTAATTTGGCCAATTTAACACAAAGTTCAAAATATTTCCAATTTCAAAAATAGGGTCCAGAATGAACAATGTAGGCATTCCTGGTACTAAACTAACATTTCCTCTGTTCATTAGTTATGTTTTGAGGCTTTACAAATAAATTCCATTTTGATTTTTATTCACATAATGAATTTTTATTCACACCAAAAAATAGAAGATTTACCGTTATGCAATACTGTAATAATTGTATAAATATCATCACCATATTTGTGAATGTATATTAGACCCACCAGCTGATGTTATTAGACGTGTGAGGTCGTTTGTTTACTTTGAATATCGGCAAAAATTTAACATTTCTGCTACTTTGAGCTCAGTTTCAAGCCATTTCCAGTGCTAAAAACCAATCAAAATCATCTCTATTTCTGTAATATGTCTTCCATTCTATCAAATGAGACCAAGAAATCGCAAATACAACTATAAATAACATACGAAAAAACACTGCAAAGTTGCTGTTTTAATCGAAAAATCATGATTTCATTTTTTTTCTCTCATTATACACAGTGTGCTGCAGGATCTGTTTTATGTGGTGCACACATACCACATAGATGTATTCTCTCATATCTAGGCCCAAATGTACCACTCACAGTTTATCAGAGTGAGCTGAGCTCATGGCGTAGATCTACGGTTTGGACCCTGAACGTAAAGCCGTAGATCTACGGGACGGACCCTGAAAGGGTTAAAGGTTTAAGGTGGTTGGCTGTGGTTGATCCCCAGGCACAAATAGGTGAGGTAGGGATATATTAAAGAGTGGTACAGGGTAAGGAGTGTCGTTTGGAGCACATAGTAACGTATCTTGGAAAGGATGCCTACTGATTTGGAAATTTTCTTGGATATATGCTGGATATGGGAATGAAATTTAAGATTACAGTCAAGGCAAAGACCTAGAAATTTACCCTCAGTGTGTCTTGTAATGGGGGAACCACTTATCGATATATTAAGTTGGATATTTATGGCTCTGTTTCCAAACAGCATAAAGTATGCTTTGTCTATGTTGAGAGTGAGCTTGTTGATCAAAAATTTGGTAATGAAAGACTGGAGGGAGAGAGTATGGAGGAGGTGAATGTATTCAGATATTTAGGAGTCAACGTGTCAGCAGATGGGTCTATGAAAGATGAGGCGAATCACAGCAATGACGAGGAGAAAAAGGTGACTGGTAAACTGAAGAGTCTGTGGAGACAAAGAATTTTGTCCATGGAAGCAAAGAGGAGAATGTATGAGAGTATAGTTATACTAATGCCTTAAATGGGTGTGAAGCATGGGTGGTGAATGTCACAACAAGGAGAAGGCTGGAGGAAGTGGAGATGTCATGTCTGAGGGCAATGTGTGGTGTGAAAGTAATGCAGAAAATTCGTAGTTTGGAAATTAGGAGGAGGCGCGGGATTGCCAAAACTGTTGCCCTGAGGGCTGAGGAGGGGTTGTTGAGGTGGTTTGGACATGTAGAGAGGATGCAACGAAAGAGAATGATTCTGAGAGTGTATAAATCTGTAGTGAAGGGAAGGCAGGGTAGGACGGTCGGCCTAGGAAAGGTTGGAGGGAGGGGGTAAAGGAGGTTTTGTGTGCGTGGGGCTTGAACTTTCAGCAAACATGCATGAGCTTGTTTGATAGGAGTGAATGGAGACAAATGGTTTTTAGGACTTGACATGCTGTTGGAGTGTGAGCAAGGTAACATTTATGAAGGGATTCAGGGAAACCAGAAGGCCGGACTTGAGTCCTGGAGATGGGAAGTACAGTGCCTGCACTCTGAAGGAGGGGTGTTAATGTTGCAATTTTATAACTGTAGTGTAAGTGCACCACTGGCAAAACATTGATGGAGTGAATGATAGTGAAAGTTTCTTTTTTTGGACCACTCTACCTTGTTGGGAGAAGGCCAATGTGTTAAAAATAAAAAAAAAATATTTTGCCACTTATTTTTGGGAAGAGAAAAAAGTCACAGGGAGCTAGATTTGGGGAGGTGGAGGGGGGGACACCATCATGTTGCTTTTGGCCAAAAAGTGATAGTCTTTCTGATCTTGACTCGGCAAGGGAGCACAAATTTCGCAGCCACACGCCTTATGTTCAAATTTTCAGTCCAAATAAATTCCCACGGCACTTGCAATGTCTTGGATACTATGACTACAATTTTCATGAATAGCCTTCATCACTTTTCAGTGTTGCTCATTCTGCTTTGAATCAAGAAAACCATTCAAAATAGCATATCTGACACACTGCTTGGTTGCCAAATGCTTGCTGAAATAAGACCTCTCTTCTCCTCCCCCAACCTTTTTTTTTGTTTTTAGCTTTGCCTATATTATGAATGAAAAAGCCACTTGTAGTGAAATGTTTCCTTAAGTGAATGCTGAACTGTACTTAAGTATTTTTATCCACATTCTGTTGGTATCACCATACCATTTACAACCTACATATACACAGCTCTGATCTAAATGTTTACATTCTTTGAGCTTTTTAATGCTTTATTACTACTTTCAAATTGAAGACTTGGTTCATAAAGCAATAATAACAAAAATCATTATGGACTGAATCTTGTATAGCTTTTCATACACAATATTATGAGTTAAAATACTTGTAAGTGGTAAAAATACAGTTAACAAATGAAATTGTAAACTTAGAGCTTTAATATTACATCTGTTCAAAACAGTTGCACTTAAAACACTCACAGTTTATGAGCAGGAGAGCCAAAGCCAGAAATAATAACATAATCTGGAAGTAGGTGAAAGACCAGCAGAGTTGCCAGAGAAGATGGATATACCAAGCCAGTAATGTGAGTACTGCTGGGAAGAACACTGTCTGAAGTGCTACAAGAACCTTTGTGTAACGTCCATCCTGACTGATGAACTGTAAAATGAAGAAAAATAGCAGATCATTAATTCAGCTTGTGGCATTCTAAACATCTCTGCATCTTTCAAGTACTGGAACACCTTCAAACACACTTATTATCCTAATAAAGTAGTGCTGTACAGTGTTAGATATAAAAAAAATTAAAAAGAAAAAAAAAAAACAATAAAAAAACAATCACATCTGGGTGTCAAAATTTTAGAAAAACACTGCTATTCGTATTTATGCAAGTGTTGCCAACACATTTTTTTTGCCAGCTTTAACATTAACCTGTAACTAAGTTTTCTTCTTATAGTTCTATTCAGAAAAATTAGGTTATATCAGTCTGTAAGAACAAATAATTTTTAAAATTTTACACCTTTCCCCACCACACACTGGATATTTTTATTTTATAAGAACAAAAGAAGAAACACTGCAGCAAGCCTACTGGTCCATGCGAGGCAGGTCCAAGTCACCTCCCGGCTTAAACCAATGACCCACCTAGTCAGGTCAGGTCACATCCACTTAGGGAAGGGGCATGGCATCAGACCTATTAGCACAAGCTAGCCTGGTCCAACTCACACCCCACCCACACCCACTCATGTATTTATCTAACCTTTTTTTAAAACTACACATTTTAGCTTCTATGACAGTACTTGGGAGTTTGTTCTATTCAGCCACAACTCTATTACCAAATCAGTGCTTTCCTATATCCTTCCTGAATCTGAATTTTTCCAACTTAAAACCATTGCTGCAAGTCCTGTCTTGGCTAGATATTTTTAGCACGCTATTTATATTCCTTTATTTATTTCTGTTTTCCATTTATACACCAATCATATCACCCCTAATTCTACGCCTTTCTAGAGAGTGCAGATTCAGGGCCCTCAGTCTATCTTCAAAGGAAGATTTCTGGTATGTGCGATCAACTTTGTCATCCTCCTTTGTATGTTTTCCAGTGCATTTATATCCATTCTGTAATACAGTGACCAGAAGTGTGCAGCATAGAGACTCACAAAATCGTAATGACACAATTGCAAACAAACCATACCACGGGTGGGGTTTGAAGCTAGCTGGCCCAGTGGCTAACACGATGGTCTGGAGTTTTGAGACTCTCTGACCATGGGTTCAAACCCCACCCATGGTATGGTTTGTGCAGCATAATCTAAATGAGGCCTAACCAAAGATATATAGAGCTGAAGAACAATCTGAGGACTCCTATTATTTATGCTTCTTGATATGAAGCCAAGGATTCTGTTCGCTTTATTACGAACACTTATGCCCTGTGTCTTGGTTTCAGATTACTGCTAACCAGAACTCCCAAATCCTTGTTGCAATCAGTTATATTAAGATCTACATTATTTAGTTTATATGTAGCATGGTTATTTTCTTGTCCAATGTTTAGAACTTTGCATTTGTCTACATTAAACTGCATCTTCCACTTCTCTGACCACTATATCAGTCTATTCAAATCTCTAATGTCCTCATTTGAATGAATTAGGCAACCTATTTTGGTGTCATCAGCAAACTTGCTTATGTCACTATTTATTCCCCCATCACCATCAATGCTGTTTATATAAATTGTGAACAACAAAGGGCCCAACACTGACCCCTGTGGAGCACCACTCATGATGTGCCCCCACTCTGATTTCTCCCCACTGATGCAAACTCTCTGCTGCCTATCTGTCAACCACACCTTTAACCAGGAAAAAATTTCTCCTCCTATTCCATGTGCCTTAATTTTCCTCAATAGGCTCTGATGTGGAACTCTATCAAAAGCCTTACTGAAGTCCATATACACAATATCATATTCATTACCATGATCTACCTCCTTAAATACCTTGGTGAAAAAAGTTAGTAAATTTGCAAGGCAGAAAGAAATGCCCCTTTGTAAAACTGTGCTGAGATTCATTAATCAATTTATGCTTTTCAAGATAGCTACGAATTGCCTCAACAATTACTGATTCCATAAATTTTTCCACCATGAAGGTAAGGCATACTGGTCTATACTTCGAAGCTAAGGACCTGTCTCCTACTTTGTAAATAGGTATTACATTTGCCATTTTCCACTTGTCTGGCACTATGCCAGTTTGTAGTGATATGCTGAAAAGACTGGCCAAAGATTTGCTAGCTCCTCCTCGCACTCCTTTAACCCTTCATCGCGCAAGGGGTCCAAAAATTTGAAATTCGAACTGAACTCCCTATGGTGGATAGAGTAACTCAATACAAGTTCAATGATCCCATATAAATTGATTTCTGATGGTTAGTTTTCGAGCAATTGCTAATCTCCGGAGACCGAAAATATCCGTCTGCGCCCGACAAAGTGATTAAAAAATTTTATGTTGCAAAACTTGCAATTGTTAATAAAACACGCCAAAACAATTTTTTAAATTTAATATACAAACAGACAATATAAAAAACATAAATGGAACTTGAATCAAAACATTTTTTAATTGTTACAAAAATATAAAAAGGAAGCAAATCTCAACAATGACAAATTGCAAAGGGATGCAACTTTCAATCCTATATTCCTGAGATTCATTTGGATGACCAATTATTCTATATTGCTAATTGATGGTATGGTAGTCGCTGAAGCAAATTTCTATCACTCTTTATCCAGATTTACTTTGCATACAGAACACTGGAATGAGGATGTGACCAATTTCTTCGAGTGGCTGCAATAGTTGCAATCGTAATACCTTACTTTTTCTTCACTAATTTCTGTTTTTTGGCTGGCCTTTCTTCCTCCTCATCATCACTTGACACCTGTGCATCCGGTGGCAAGTATTCATCACCACTATCCAGCAATTCTGGTTCATCTACCTCTGCTTCTGAGTCACTCTCTTCAGAAACGCAGACATACTCGACCTGCTGTGACTGCTCCCCATAAAACAACTTCTCATTGATCTGGAAGGACAATAGAAACCTCCTGTATAGATCCAGACCACTACAGAGTTCATATATGCAATTGAAATTTTTTATAATATTTATTTGACTAAAATTGGACATTCCCGGAAACTCGTGCAAGACTGAAATAATTCGGTATAAAATGTTTGCACTTTTTTCAACTGCATGCTACACTCATATTGTGCTTCACACGGACTTTAGGTATATATCAAAATATGCCTAAACTATTCATGTAAGCACTAAACACAACAATCAGTACTTACCGACATTGTAGAATGTATAATCCAAGAGTAGATTAGTAAGGGTGGAGGGAAAAATGGGTGTGTGGGCGGAGCCAAGCCACCAGTGTTTATATTTTGATCTCTCAACCAATGGGAAGGCGGCAGAAGCGAACTGTACTTAGCTGAAGAGACTCAGGGAAGGCTTGTGATTGGTTGGAACTAAAGAACGGGAAGCTGGCCGCGCGGGGCACTGAGTATGACACGCCCCCAAAACACGTAATTAATACCGAATTTTCCCGGCCCACCCCGATAAAGGGTTAAAACCCTTACTAACAGTTCATCAGGGCCTGGGGATTTGTTTGGTTTTAATTTCTCTATCTGTCTGAGGACCATGTCACTAGTTACCCTAATCATGCATAGTTTTTCATCCTGTTTTACATCATTTATAAATTCTGTAATTTTGCTAGTATCTTCTTGCATAAAAACAGAGGAAATATGAGTTAAAAATTTCACACATTTCCTTATCACTGTCAGTGATCTGACCTTAGTTACTTTTGAGTGGGCCAATCTTGTCCCTAATCTTATTTCTATATACCTGAAAGAAACCCTTTGGGTTAGTCTTCAAATCCCTTGCCACTCTAGCCTCATAATCTCTTTTAGCTTTTCTTAGTCCCTTTTTTCATTTCTCTCTTTAAATGATATGATTTCTTAACTGCCCCTCTCCTCTTTTGATATGCCTATATGTGCCTCACTTTTGACCAGTGAGATGTTTAAATCTAGTGTTTATCTATTTGGGATCATTTCTGGTTCTTCTAATTTCTACTTGAAACATAAACTGTCTGGGCAGCTAGAACTATGCTCTGAAAAACATATTGACAATCAACACCACCTACCTGACCCATAGTCAGGTCATTCCAATTTACCCCACCCAGGTAATTTCAGTCCCATAAAATTGGCCCAGCCAAAGTCTGGGACAGAGGCTTGATTGCAGTTATTTGGGTAATTCCATGATAAACTGAAACTATGTGATTTGTGATCACTATCCCCAAGCTCATCATTAACCTCAAGATTATTTAGTGATTCTTTGTTGGCAAGAACCAAGTCTAGCAGATTGTTTCCTCTAGTTGGTTCCGTCACAAACTGATATAAAAAGCAATCCTGAATCTTATCAAGAAAGTCACTAGACTGAAGATTTCCTGTTGTACTGTTCCAATCAATTTTTCTAAAGTTAAAATCTTCCATTAACATGACATTTTCATATCTAGATGCCTTATGAATTTTGTCCCATAGCAATTACTGTACTCCTATCAAGATTTGGGGGGCCTATAAATCACACCCAAGATTAATTTGTCAAGGCCCTCAAGAAACTGTGGCCAAACAGATTCTGTGTGTGATGCTTCTAATCTTATATCTTTTCTGACACAACATTTTAAATTATCTCTGACATACATCATCACTCCACCACCCTTCCTGTCGACCCTATCAGTGTGGAATATTTTATAGCCTTGTATGTGGAATTCAGCAGGCATTTCTCTATCTTTCAGGTTGAACCAGGTCTCCATTACAGCAATAATATCTATATTATCTGCACATGCAAATATTCTTAGCTCATCTATCTTGTTTCTTAGACTCCTACTATTAGTATAGTAAATCTTAAGGGAGCTAGTCACTCTGCCCTCTACTGTCTTTCTTTGTTTATTGATCAAATGCTTTGCCTTTACTAGCAACTTTATTTTGAATATTGTCTATTAAACATATCCCTGAAGTATCCTGGTAATATCTTCTGTTTTCAACCCTTGTACTGCAGCTTGATTGTTTCCCCACACACACCCGTACCTCTATAATCTATCAGTTTAAAGTCCTAGACAAGTCAGCAACGGCCCCCTCAATCAAGTT